CTCAAAACATTGCTATTTTGAGCTGTTCTTTTGGTAGTGCTGGCTCTCAGAGTTATTTACAGACTAGATTCACACATTATGCTAAGCCAAAGTGTAGTTTGTTTGGTTTTAACATAGTGTGAAGTGTGACTTAACCATTGTGGATTGTATAATATGGTGGACATCTTAGCATATTATGGGAACTCAGCCCTTTGTGGCTTAATTAACAAACCATGCTTAAGTCAATAATGGATTATTGCAATGCATAAATCTTTTCCCTGGGGTCTGCCTTTAGAATCTTTTAAATGCTTGCAAAACTCTATTATATCCTGCAGGCGCTTCATAATAAAATGCCTATTAGCAAAAAAGATTATTTCCAGCCTCAGATCTGTAACTGTAGCTTACACCAATCATAGGGGGACAAAACTTGATTTGACAAGCAAATTAAAAAATAAAATTCTTAACCATTCCCTTTCCATCACCACCATATTTCCTTTTCCACATCCTTTCCAAGCTGCTACCCTCAATCAGGGACCTATGAGAAGTCAAGCACTGGTTAGTGAAGAAGGCTTTCCTGTTTCAAATATTTTAGAAAAGCTCAGAATCAGCTATATTTATCTATTTTTATTTATTCGTATCCCACCTTTATTATTTTTATAAACAACCCAAGTCAGTGAATCTATCCAAAACATTTTCCCCACTACAACAACCCTGTGAGATGGATCAGGGAGAGAGAGAATGAGAGAGAAAAACTTGGTCCAAAGTCACCCAGCTGATTTTTCATGGCTAAAGCAGACTTGAACTCACACTTTCTAGCCTGTTGCCTTAACCACTAGACCAAACTGTCTCTCTGTGTAGAAACCCCAATCTTTTTGACAAAACAGAGCAAACAATTCAATTGTTTTCAACCTGACATCCTTTACAATGTGTTTATCCTAGCCAAAAATCTGGAGAGTTTGAAAAGATGAGGAAGATTTAACATTGGAGAAGGTCATTTTTGATATATCTTTCTGCAAAGACAGATGGGGACAAATAAGAAAGATTCTGGGAAAGATGCCTCATTCTGTACCATGTTCCCTCAGTGGCTTTTGATGTTGTTTTGGATTACTCAGCAAATACCCCAAACACCAGAACACCTGCCTTCCACTCTATGATTTAGCCAAGTCTTCAAGGTCAAGTCTGTGAAACCAGCCCTCCTCCTAATCCAATTTTTGGTCCCAAGATCTCCTTTACTGCTTTCTCTCCTGCAGCTAGGCTTCCTTTACTACTAGTGTCAGTTTAAAGGATGGGATGGAGATTTTATTCTGAAACTATCATCTGAACTGGCTGACTTATCTTGTGGGTTCCTTTCTCTCATCTGTTGGTGTTCTTTTCCCAATGTGGCAGATCCGGTTTTAGAAAAGTTGCTACTCACACAGCTCAGCCTCCTAACTAATTTATCTATTTCCAAGGATAAGTTAAAGAAAGAACCATTGATCAGGCCTGTGTTATAGATGGATTTTTTTCATCTTATTTTTTCCTGGTAAATTCTAAACTCTGCCCTGCAGATTTTCAAGTAAGAACACTCTTTTCTTTAGGGCCATTTGGAGACATGCTGTGACTCAAATTGGAACACACTTTCATTTAAACAAGTCTAACTACACCAACAGGATAAAAACCTGTGAGGTCCTCACTTAATGACAGCAACGAAACTGCTGATATTGCTATTGCCACTTTACAACCATGCAGCTTAGCAAGAAAATTTCAGTCCCAATTGCCACTGTAACCTGAGTAGTTGTAGTTGCTTGTAAATATATCAGATGATTGTGACTTATTAAACAAATCATAGCTTAACATGAGGTCTGTGATTTTCCAAACATAGGTCAGTCAAGAGTCTTCTATTCAGAGAAATATTTTCTCAGATTGTATTAATGTAATTGAGCCAGTTTGTTGTAGTGATTAAGGTGCTAGCCTAGAAATCAGGAAACTATGACTTTTAATTCTGCCTTAGGCATGAAGCCAGCTGGATGACATTGGGCCAGTTACTCTCTCTCAGCCCAAGCCAACTCACAGGGTTGTTGTTGTTGTGGAAAATGGAAAGTGAAAGGAGTCTTAAGTATGTTTGCTACTTGGAGTTATTAAACATAAAAGAAGTATGATAAAACTCTAACAAATGAATATTCTTTTCTTCAGCAGCAGCACCATTCCGGAAACTGTGTGTTTGAGTGGAAAGATGAGTAAAAAGAACTTAGAAGCCAATCTTCTTGAATTCAATGGCGTTTCTGTACAGATGAACCCATGAGAATTTATTTGTATTATTTCTTCTAGACCAGTGTTTTTAAAACTTGGCAATTTAAAAATGTGTGGTCTTCAACTCCATACTGGCTGAAGAGTTCTGAGAGTTGAAATCCACACATCTTAAACATGCCAAGTTTGAAAAACACTGGTCTAGACTTTTTCCACCCTGTATTCCATGAACTCTTTCCAAAGCTGTTCCCCATAAAACACTAAAGGATTTTTTAAAAACCCTTTCCAATGTATATAGTATGTGAGAGATGCATGTCCATATTTTAGTTTTTATTTTAATTTAATTTCTGTTTTTTGCCTGAAGCATAGCCAGTCTAGGAGATTGAGCTCATAAGACTGTCTGATAGACAATCATCAAAAACATAGAGGTTGAGTTGGTGTGGGATTATTCTTTTCTGAGATAAAATGGAAACGTAAGTGGGTGTAACTACTTTGCTATTTTCCTGTGATGAAAAATAAAGAGATTTATATTATCATGCTTTTAAAAAAATCAAGGAAATCAAAGTTCACTTATTTTCCTTCTGCTAAGAATGAAGTACTGGTGAATAATTAAAACCTTGGTTTTCTATTCAGATGTTATCAAATCTCTCTCTCTTTAAACAAAACCGCTCCAGGTGATACAGCCAGGACTTCTCTGTTAAGCTGTGGGATCATTTCTTCACGAACAAACACTATTGTATCTTAACCAAATGCAAATTCTGTAGTGCTTGAACCTCAGCTAAGATGGCTCTCTAGGCAATGCCAACCTTATAATTAGGCAGTGAGATAACCTCCTTGAACACACCAGTAAATTATTCATTATTTATTTAGTTGTTGCTGTGTTTTCTCTCCCAAGCATTTCTGCTTCTTGTCAACATTGCTTGCTCAGTTTTCAGAAGGAAATGCCATCTGAGACTTACTTCAAGTAGAATGTTATCTCGGAGTGATCCTGACCAAGACACTTGCCCTTCCAAAGATGTATGTAGGGCTTGGTTGCTTATAATGTACAATACACTTATTTCACTATTTGACCTAAATATATTTTTGCATGTATTGTATTTTATGATGTGCCTAGCATCAGAACAGATTATTATGGCTAGATTAGCTGTGGCTCAAGGGCGCATCAACTGATTGGTCTCTCTTGGCCGATAGATGCTAACTGATGTCTCTTACTTTGTAAGTTTATTTGGTAAACTACCTTATTTAATCTCAGTATGTTTAACCAGAAACACCGCTGCTCCAAGTGGTAAGTACCAATATTCAATGACTGCATTTGGGACAGCCAGTCAACACTCTGTGTTTCCAGTAAACACCAGTAAGAAAAACACAAGCACATCCCTAGCTGTTGAAGAGTAGGGTAGTCATAGCCCATGCAAAGTGTCCCATGCACAATAGCACACTTCCTTCATGGAGTGTAAACCTCTTAATTTCCATTTATTTCAAAGGGATTCTATCTCATATGTATGATCATTTAGCTGTTGCAACTGATTGAAACGCTTGTTTGGTTGTTGTTTTTTTGCCTTGAGGTACCAATTGTTAAATTCTGGGTCAGTGCTTAAAGTTCAGTGAATGATGGGGAAACTGCCAAATCAATTACAGTATATCAAAGGTGCAAGTTTGTGAATGGATCTTCTGACTCGTACACAACTTTTCAGTAAGTGTTGTTTTTTTTAAATGTCTAGCTACAAAGCCATTGCAAAGTCCAAATGATAAGTATATTCGGTGAGAAGTAAATCTTATTGATGCACTGTATCCTACTTCCTAGGAAACTGCGCCCAAGACTGTACTACATCATGCTGTCCATTTCCCGTTTGACTGGGAATCAGTCCTTTTAGATTTATTGGGGCACCAGCTGAATCAACAACCCTGAAGAAAGTTTGCAGCCCTAATATTTAAGCCCTCCTTTTTGCACGGATGCAGTCATGTATCCAATTTCAGTCAAGTTGAGGCGAAAGGCAATAAACAGAATGAAACAGCAAGAGATATCCCACTCACTCCTCAACAGAATGGAAAATGAGAGATGCCAGGAAATAGCTGCCGAACCTGTTATGTTGTGACGCAAGAGGAAGGCTTATCAAATGAAATACAGTGGGAAAAAGAAGGCACAAAAAGGTTTCTTATTCACCATAACTTAAAAGGGATAAATAAGAAAGAGGATAGTAGAGGGATGATGAAATTGACAGGTCCCAATCTACAAAGGACAACGTGTGTGCCAGTTTATCTTAATTAGATAAAATGAAGGCTTGAGCAAATGGCTAGGCTTTTTGTTATCATGGCCCAACCTGCTGTAAATAAGCTATTTGCCAGTCAGAGGACAGACATGATGTGTAAATATTGACTTTAAATTTCTTTGGTGGTTCTCATTTCTCCTTAGCAAAGTCCATGACTTTCTAAAGGTCAGCTCAAACAGTGGAATCTTTCATAAAAGGAACAGTAACCAGCTTTAACTTTCTGGAAACATTTACCATTATAAAATTACGGAAGGCCCAAATGCAAGAATTATCAAAACTGGTACCGAATGTTATGCCCATAATTCTTTATATATTAACTATACATATATATATATATATATATATATATATATATATATATATATATATATATATATATATATAAGACAATTTCCCCCATCCCTTACTCCATGATGCTAGAGACATAAAAAGGAGAGAACCTTATTCTGTATATTCATAGCTATGCACGGTGATCTCAAAGGTGCACAGATACATTTTGCACACATGCATTCCTGTTACACTGACCTGGGTGTCTCTATGAAGGAAGCAGTCCTTATGCAAAGTCCTGCATCATCACATTAGCCTCTTTGGCTTTCTTGCACATGTACAGCCACTTGATTATCCGAGCATTGCGTTCAACCACAGAGGTGCCACTAGGCCCCTGTTCTGTGAGCTCTTCCTCCAGGAGTCCATCCTCATCACTGTGTCTTGTGAAATCACTTTCAGAAGCTGTCCCACTGATGCTGTGCAGATGGAATGAGAAATTGTCTGAAGCTGCTGAAAAATTCTCTTGGCCTAAATCTTTTATTACCTCAGGTGCAAGGCCACAGTTCTTAAAAAAAGTGTCAAATTCAGAGAAGGATTTTGAATATCGTGAACTGATATCCGACTGAGATCTTTGAAGACCTTTCGATCTCATCTCCTTTAGGTCATAAGGTGAGGAAGTCACATTTAGGGCAGTTTTGCATCTGCTGACCAGAAAGGGCATTGGGTTTGCCTTTGTGGATGAATTCTGTCCTTCTAGATCATAACTATGGCTTGTGTCTTTGTCCAAGATAGTCCCTTCCACTTCAGGAATGGTTTCTTCCTTGAGAACTGCTTTGGACACCTCAGAAAGCAGTTGCTTTTCCTTGAAGGAACCCTGGAACAACCTCCGGACTAAATTCCCCCGAGTATTCTCCTGGCTTTGACCTCTGACGAATTCACATTTCTGACGATAGATCACCAAGGAATCTGGCCGGATCTGCCTTTTACCACTGTTGCGCCTCACAATGGGCGGACTGCCCTGCCGGGCTGCCGGGCTCAGTTCTGCGGTCCTGGGAACTTGGGCTGCCGTGTCCTTCTCCTCTCTTGAGAGTTCGATCTTCTTGCTTCCCACTGAGCAAGTCTCACTGCTGCTCTCCGAAGTTGAGCTGAGGGTGATGGCCGGCACCTGCTTCCTGCTGATGACTTGCTGGCTTTTCACATACTTGGCCTTATCTGCTGCCAACCTTTCCACTGCGCTCTTCCTGCTAGGGTTGGCTGCCTCCATCTGCTTGCGAAGGTGTTCTGGACCCTTTTGGAGAAGCCGTGCTGTCAGCGAGGAGGGGAAATCAGAGATGGCATGCATTCTCCCCATGTGGGAGAGTTCAGCTGGCATAGCAGGCTCAGGTGTCCCACGCTGATTTGCACTTCAGGAAAAAGAAAGAAAAATTCAAAGCTCCTCCTCTTCCTCCTCCTCCTCTCTGATTCTTCTGGGATAAGCAATCCAAGGAACCTCTCACAAACAGCCAACTTCGGTTGCTGTCTCCGTCTCAGTGCTTTCCAAACAAAGCAAAACACCTCTGCTCTGGCCAAGCCCAACTGTCTGTGCCTGCTGCAGACACTCTCTAACTGCACACATGCATGAGTACACACCCCCTCCACCGCTTCTTCTTTGCACATTCACCTTTCCACTGAGCCAGCCCCTATGAGCCAGGCGCAGCCAATCCTCGTGAAACAAAGAAGGCCTCTCTGACATCAGTCGGGAGGGAGATGACTCACTGATGCTAGAGGAGTGTCTCAAACCATCAACACTCCATTGCCTCAAGCAAGGAGGAGCTTTAATGAAGAGGGGTTTTTTTTAAGAAAAAGAAACAACACATAAGCTTCCTTCTGCCTCCTCCTACAGCAAAAGCCCAATGGGAACGAAAGTGCTGGAGGAGCTTTCTTTGGCAGAGATTGAGGTGCAAGGGACAAAATAAACTCCCCCAAGATCCTGCTGTAGATAAGGATATGGTGGTCTTTTCCTAGATGACTTTGAAAGCCCTATTAGTGAGATGAAGGAAGTTCAATGAACTTGGATTTGAGTACTGATGTGTATGTTGATGAATAAACTGAGCTGTGAAGCCGGAAGTTCCCAGTTCCGAGTTTGAATCTGCCAAGAAACCCACGAGGCAGCTGAGAGGCTCAGCCTCATGCTCTGCACTCTGTCACTTGGGGAACAAAAATCATGATTTGATTGGCAGGTTTGCTGTAAGGGGAATGCATCCAATGCACTTTGAACATGTGTGGAAGTACTATTCAAATGCCAAAGATTATTTATATCGCAGGCAGAGACAGGGGAATCTATTTCCCTTTTACCACTTCCATGATGTATTACAATATGGAAGAGAATTATTATTATTTTTATAAAGAAGTACTAAATTCTCTCTCTTCCTGACATGGTGGGAGGAGAGGTGGGTAGTCTACGATGGTTAAAAAAAAATCAAAAGGGGTCTAGTAACATTTTTTCTGACTCAGGCTTTTTTATTCAAAGGTAAAAGCTTTTGTCTTTTGATGAGAGCCGCAGAGCTCAAAAGTTTATGTTGTTTAATAAAATGTCCTAGTTGGCAAAGGTGCTATCAGCGCTCGGTTATAGTCCTCAGGGAATTGTGTCTGTACAAGTGCTGACCTACAGGTTATTTCAAAAAGGACTGCAGCACTCTAATAATTCAGCAAAATACATGCTTTGGTAAAGTGTTTGCTTTCCATTTTAAATCCTGCTTAAGGTACTCAAGTCACAGCCTGGCAAATTGGCCTGGCTCCAGAGTTCTGATACTCGCCCCCTTTCCTCTGACAACTCATCCTCTCTTCCTGTTGCTCATTCGCCTCTCCCAGTGGCTGGAGCAAATCAAACTCTTATGTTACATATTGCATGTAAAACGGTATGGGTGGGTAGGTGGAATTCTAAGGCTATCGGAAAGTATATTTTCACACCATCGTAAAGAAGAGGGGAGTCAACCTATTCTCCAAAGCACTTCAGGGCAGGACAAGAAGCAATGGATGGAAACTAATCAAAGAGAGAAGCAACCTAGAACTAAGGAGAAATTTCCTGACAGAACAATTAATCAGTGGAACAACCTGCCTCCAGAAGTTGTGAATGCTCCAACAATGGGAGTGTTTAAGAAGAGACTGGACAGCCATTTGTCTGAAATGGTACAGGGCAGTGATGGTGAACCTTAGAGATCAAGTGCCCCCAAACTGGCCCCGCCCCTGCTCCGCCCCCTGCCCCGCCCCTGCTCCACCCCCATCCCCCACTCCGCCTGCCCACAGGACCACTCACTGCCTCCAGGGTCTGCTGCATATTGCCCAGGCAGTCCAGAAGCGCTATGGCGGCCACACCCTCTGCCCGTACCCTGCAGCATCAACTGCATGATGGGGTTTGAGGGCAGAGTCTTGTCTACGCTGTCTGGCTGCCATGTCCTTGGCTGCGCTGCTCCGTGTAGGCCATGCTCGGGGGCAACTCTCCTTCAGGGGGGCTGCTGGAGAGGAGAAGGTTGCGGGGGGAGGCAAGGCTGGGGCAATGGCACGTGTGCCCACAGAGAGGGTTCCAAGTGCCGCCTCTGGCACCTGTGCCATAGGTTCGCCACCACTGGTATAGGGCTTCCTGCCTGAGTAGGGGGGGGGTGGACTAGAAAATCTCCAAGGTCCCTTCCAACTCTGTTATTCTATTATTCTGCAAGGGATTATAGCAATTTTTAGTTAAGCAGAAAATATGATTGCATACCCTGAACAGTTGCTGGCCTACTGGATTTCCTTACAGAAGGTCATGAGGAGATGTCAGAAGAAAGGGAACTGATGTAAGAGATGGAGCTTAAAGTGTAACCCCACTTTTGCTTTTGTCTGGGCATGACATTCTCTCAACTCATTCATTGGATTTTTGGAGTGCAGCACAGTTTTAGGTTGTCATAGTATAATTTGTCCCTTGACTTTTATCTCACAGACATATATATATATGTATGTATATGTATATGTGTGTGTGTGTATGTATATATATATATATATATATATATATATATATATATATATATATATATATATAATATTGTTTAAACATCAGCCCTATGAGGTAGACCAGACTAAAAAACAGATTCCACATAACCTAAAACTTTTTTTATTGAAATTGGCTATAGTAACAGAATTTAGCAAGTCTGAATGTCTTTCCCTCCTCCCTTTTTTATATTTGTGTGAATTAGGGCTATCTGTTTTGAGATATTTTTTAAAATTCTTCCCTCCTTTGAGCTTAAGCAATGTTTACCTTTTTGTTGCCTTGGTAATGGATCTTCCTTTTCTCCGTCAAGGCCATCTCTATCACTCTCCCCATTAAGAGAACTTTGCACAGAGAATAGCATAACATTATATTGTGAACTTTTCCCTCCAAAAGGAAACTCAGTAATCCCCAAAGAAAATAAATAGTGCTCAGTTATCTCACATAGGTAATCTTACTGGTTAATTTTTAAGAAGCTTAGTTCTTTTAAAGGACTGAAGAGTCACTGCTTTCAGATCAGGAAGGGGGTGGAAAAGAACAAACCTCCCAGTCACTCTCTAAGCCTTATTGAGGCTACATGGAAGCTTACTCTGAACCTTTCTTGAAGTGAGCCTGTGGGATCTTGGTGTTTGGGGGGGTCCCATTCTTGAAAAAGTGGCAAATGAGAAAACAGGCAGACAAATCTTATATTAGGCCCTAACAATATCAGGAAGACTTGAGAATTGGCGTACTATAGTAGCCTTTCCTGTAGTTCATTTTAAAAGTTTATTTATAAGATGACCAATCGTTCTCCTTTAGGGAGGACAGTCCTCCTTTTGTAAGTTCTGTCCTCCCTCAAAAAGTGTCCTCCTTTTCGATACTTGAAGACTACTCTGCAGGGCTTTTTTTTCCCTCATAGAATGCTCAGAACGGCATTCCGGCACCTTTTTTTGATATTTTTTTTTTTGAACTTTTGCATGAGCTGTGCTACTCTCACTATTGGCTTTCAAAAGCCAATAGGAATTGCTGCTGAACACGCCAAAACACCCGGCTGGCAAACTTTGCACATGCAAATTGTCTGTATTATTGTTGCAATGAATAAAATGTTTTTTTTATTTACAATTTTTTTTCTTCAATTTATTTGTGTCCTCCTTTTCATTGTAAAAAAGTTGGTCACCTTATTATTTACAGAAAGGACTTGGAATACATCCATTACGTGCTTTTACCTCGTATTACTTTTTTCTTCCACAGAAAAAAACATATGCCCAAATACACAGTCAGCAGGAGCAAATTCCAATTCATCCTTATACAGGTAGTCCTCAATTTATGACCATAATTGAGTCCAGAATTTCTGTTGCTAAGCAAGAAGGTTGCTAATTGTCCCAAAAGTGCTTTTCCAAAAGGCAAGTGGACTTTCTTCGTTTTTTCCTTGAAGATATTTTGTTTCTCATCCAAGAGGTTCCTTTCTTTTTCAAAGAAAAAAACACAAGGAGGTCTGGTTGCCTTTTGAAAAAGCACCTTTGGGACAACCATGATCTGGATGATTGAGAATCTCCATATTCATAGACAGTACTGAATTAGATAACCAATATCCTTCATATGGCATCCAAAAATGCTTTGGTTCTTACATTATACAGTGAATTAATTCCAAAACAGGACATCATGATAATGAGGATGATGATGTTATCCATTCATTTGTGTCCAACTGCTGGTGATTCTATAGGCTGGGTTCTCCACGTCTTCCAATCTTGCACTACGTTTCTGTGTTGTTCTATGCTCTGGCCGGTGTCAGCTTTGATCATGAAAAAGCAGGACATAAGTTCTGTTAAAAAAAATGACTGCAATTCAAAAGGTTCCCGCCAAGATGCAAAATAGAGATTGAGAAAGTTAAGGTAATTTAATTAAATCTCTTAGCCCTGAACCTCCTCAGTTTTGGCCTTTCATGTTCTTCAAAAGCAACAACCAAGAGGTTGGAAGGTTAGCTATCCACTTTGAGGACCAAAATAATAATAATAAAAAAATAGAAGCTAATGAAGTTTTCTTCTACAGAACAAGTCTCTCTGTGCAATGCCATTTTAAATAGTGTTTTAAAAATTTCTCAGTAATTTGTTAGCAGTTGAATGAATGAAGTTTTCAGAAACAAATGATGAAGTTCATTGTACCATACACATCTGCACACAGACAGAAACAATAGTTAAGAATTACCTTAGCATTGGAGAGATCCAAGTTTGGGTATATATCCCTGATGTAACTTCAAAGGATTCTCCCATGCTCCTTTCAGTTTCTACTTAATGTTTCAAACTGGTTCATGTTATTTTGCTATAGGAGAGAAAACCCTCAAACATCACTCATCAATCCTGTCCCCAACAGTTAAAATACAACCATCGTCATTGATTTGCTGCTTCTTCTTGCTACCAGCCCTTTTCAGCCTTGCTTTGTTTAACAGTAAATCTACTCTGCCACCCCCTAAAACACCCATGATAAAAGTCAGAAAAGAACTCAGTTCTAAAATTTTTCCACTTGGCTTTGGAAAGTTGCAGGTTTTGGCACTTTCTGCACCGCAACAGTTGACCTACCTCTTAATAACAAGGTTCCACTAATTGAATTAACTATAGAGATTAAATAGTGCTGTGGATAACAAGGGTAAAATGGCTCCACTCTTCACTATAA